TCGGATGGGTGGGGGAATAGGGTTGGGTATTGATTGGAGAATCATGATTGATCCGGATAAGGAAGCGTAGGCGTTGAACCAAGTGGAAGGCGGAGGAGGGTTGCGGAGGAATTTCAAGACCGATTTCATAGCTGAATCCATCGGAAATTAAGTGAGCGATGTTAGAACTAAGCAGAACGGAGGGTTTCAACGGATATTTATATTGAAATTATAGTTCTGCTGTTCGGTGTTGGCATTGGGAACATCCTGCCATGCCAGGACAAAAAAAGTACACGTAAACCCAATCGGGAATTCCCGAGCATGCACAACAAGTCAAGATTTCGTCTAATTAGACTTCGACACGTGTATGATGATGCCTTTCCTTTTTTTTTTTTTGGAGGGAATGTAATGATGCCTTTCTTATTTAGTTATTTTTGGTAAGAAAGAATGTATGTATGATGCCTTAACCAATTTGCATTTAGCTGGGGGCTTCATCTTTGTTTATGATGCCTTTACCACTTAATACGGCAGTTGTTATTACCAACACCTTTTCGTGTAGGTCATGCACTTTTTATTTTGTGAGGATAAATACTTTGCTTAAATATTAATAGACTTACACCGGGATATATACCGAGAATTCTATTAGAGATGTTAAAGGTTTGAATTTTTTCTAATGTGCGAAATAATTTAATTTAATGATTAATAAAATTTAAGTTAATTTTTATATATTTTATATAAATTAATAATAAAATATATAATAACTATATTCTTGGAATACATGTTAAGTATTTTTAAACTATTTAAAGAATTAGTTATGAAGAATAAATTTTAGATTTAATATTATTATTATTATTATTATTATTATTATGGTAAATTAAAGGTTTCTTTTGTTGGTAAGTTATGATGTTATTTGATATAGCAATTTGAAATTAATAGTTAACAAATTCATCTAATCTAATGGGTAAAGAGTGTTTGAATTATTAATAATAACAATTATTAATTGTTAGATTAAATGAAACCATTAATTATTAGTTTTAAATTGTTATGCTAAACAGTTCCTATATAAGGGCTTATTAAGTATAATTGTAATTTTAAGCTTTTGGTTTTTAAAATTCAAACAAGTAAAACTAACATTTAGAAACTGAAATTACAAATTAAAATTGTCAACTTATTAGGTATCCTATTTTGAAACAAATATCTAAAATTCCAAATTTAATTAATTTATGGGAAATGCTATTGGGACAACTATTTTGTCTCACATTTTTGTACAACCTAATGTGTCATTAAAATGATTGGTTCTTTTAATTTATATAGAACTTGTAATATTAAATATATCAACTTATTTAATAACATATAAAAATTATATAAAAAAGTGAGATAAAAAAGTTGTCCTATAACATCACTCTTGATCTATAGAACTCTCTCATTTTATGTTAAGGTTTTTAAATTTTTAACAACCAAAATCTAAAACCATACTAAATGAGGCCTAAGTCTCTATATAAAGATTCTTTATATAACAATTTCGTATCATTTAATAATATCTTTTTTCTTTATTTTCTTGTCTCTTTTCCATACTTTAGTTTCTTTTACACATATTAGGTTAAATAGAAAATTTTCTCAACTTTAGAGTTTTACACAGTTTTTATCCTTCAACTTTTTAATATATTTTTTTAACCTTTTAATTATGAGAAATATACTTTTTTAATCCTTTCGGAATTAACTCATTAAGTTTATCTAAATATTTTTTTTAGTTTGGAATTTTTAAGTTAAGGAGCAAAAAATTATGTATATATTATAAATTGAAGAATTAAAAATATATATATTTAGATAAATTTAAAGAATTAATTAATAGAAAGATTACAAAATAAATTTTTCATAGTCAGAAAACTAAAAAATACATAAAGAACTAAGAGATAAAAACCCTGCAAAACTCTAAAATTAAGGGAATAAAATTGCCATTTAACCTACCTAGTATGATTGCCCCCAAATCCTACTAAGCTCAAGGCGGACTACTTATTACTAATAATTCGCGCAAGCCCAAAAACAACATAAGATATTATAAGCCCAAAACCTACCATTTAAACTATATTGATTGGTGGGGTAAGGCTACACAAAAACTACCTCCTACTTTTATTCCCCAACTTCCCAAACCAACAAATTCAATTTTAGTAAGTATCCAAATTACATTCAAACTGCACAATCTTTTTTGTTCCCTAAAGATCTTTAAAAAAAATCCCTTTTACAATCGAACACTAAATTGGATCAAATAAGGTTACCCTAACTACAAGAAAATTCACATTTAGTGACTAAATTATTGATCATTAAATTTTTATTTTTCATCACAAATTATTATTAGTGATAAAATTTAAACCGTTAATAAAACTCTTGTCACTAATACTCTTAGTGACAAATTAAGCACATGTCATAGAAAATAATTTTATAGTGATAGAAAAAATTGACATTGTTTACAAGTTATTTATAACAATTTTATTCGTCACAAAAAAATATTCGTCACAAATGCAATTAT